ATGCACAAATAAAATAAAATCTTAAAAAAAAAAATTAAGAAGGTACATTTTCACATCTGTGTAACCTCTACACAGCTGGATTTAATTGTCTTATGTAAATATTTTAATCAAAGCATGATAATAGACATTGGAAAGATTGGGAAAGATAAGATGAGGTAAAACTAAAGTTTGTATACAGAATATCTTTTCTAGAAGTGAGCCACAAGTTTAACAATAAGCCTTCTAGCATCCAGTGCAAAAAGAAAAAAGTCACATATCTTGATGAATTCAAAGACAAAATCAAAACTAGTAGTTCCCCCAAAAAATATTTAGACAGAAGGAAGTTCTCCTTAGAGTCCTCATACTTCAGTGTGTAATTTAGTGAGCAATGTTCCGATGAATTTTACAGCATCACATTTTCTGTGTTTCAACAGGAGCAAAGATTATACCAAAGAATAATCAAGTAAGGCATCCTTACACCCCAAGACAGGCTTAGGACTGTCTTCCTCGGGAGTTACTCCTCTCAGTGATGATTTGGTTCCTATTTAATGATAGTGAACTTCTCTGAAAAGGAGCTGGTAGCCAGAGGATCTAAGTGGCCAGTCAAGGGCAAAACCAGTGTGGCAAAGTCAGCAGAGCAAGGAGAGAATTGACCTCATCTTATGATAAAAGAGGTGGGGCCAAGACATTTGCCCCATTAGAAGGGCATTCTGTATGGATAATGTTAGAAAAAAGGCTGAAAGAAATACCCAAAATGTTCCCAGCAGATGGCTCTATACAGTAGAATAATTAGGGGTGATTTTTTTATTCTAATACTTTCTGCAGTAGGGAAGTGTAGTTTTCATAGTCATAAGAAGTGTGATTTTAAAATAGCCAAAATAATTCCAAATATCATTCTGGTAATACAAAAAAGAACAAATAAGCACTGAATGGCTAATCTTAGGAGCAGCTCTTTACAAGCAGAAGGAAGGGGCTTTAGAGAGGTGTCAGTGTGGGATTCCTGTTTTCAGGTCTGGTTCTAGTGTAGGTATTGGGTTGAAGAAAGGAAAGCTAAATTTCTCTTTTGGACTGGAAGAGATGTTCTAAATTAGGATGTGAAAGGTCTTTCACAAACATAAAGTGTTCCAAATCATGGAATATTTAGCCAGATTCAGGAAACTGTGAAATCGGCTCACTATACTTCCCCCCACTCCTTCACACACACATACACACACACACGCACACACACACATGCACACAAGGATATCTATCAGCCCTGGTATTATCTTCTCAATTTCTTAGGCTCTGCAGCTCCAGCTACATTCACAATGGTATTTTATGCCTAACTGGTGCTAAAAGCCTAAATCTTCAGGTGACAGTCTGACCAAGCCACAGTCACACCCTTCAGGAAAATCTTAGATTTTCCTCAGAGTCCAATCTTGTAAGAGAAGCAGATAAATACAGTGGATTTATAGAAGGCATCAAAAAAACTCGTACCTTTCACCCTTGCAACCTTACCCTATTCTCTCTTTCTCTCCCCTAGCTTCATTCACTAGACACTTTACTGAACACATTAGTATCTGTCATATGCTTATCCTCGGTGATAGGAAGAGGAGACATATCAATCCTGTCCTAATGACCTGACAGTCTTGATTAGAGCAGAGGGATGAAGTCCTGCCTGGCTCTACCAGTGTGAATTGAGAAAATTGACACCCCTTTCATGTCTCTTCACTGGATACCAGAGTAGGGTTGCACAAAATAAGTGTAAAAAAGGACAGAAATTATTTGATTCAAAACAAATAAAAACAATAAAGCCCAAGTAATAACCACAGAGAAAATACAAGCTTTGTTGACTTCTTTGTGATTATTTAAAGTTTTGTGTTTGAGTCACCCATGGGGGAAAGGAATGGGAAGGGGAAGGATGATAATCTTTTTGGTTGGGGCTTCTAAAGGTTTTAGTTTGGCTTGGAAATGGCCAATAAGTCTGTTGGCAGGGGGCAGACTGACGTGTCTGCTGCACAGTGAGTTTTTGCAGAGAGAGAGGGACACAATCTTCTAGGGTTTTTTTCTTTTTTTTTTTTTTTTTTTTTTTTTGGCAGTTTCATATGTGAATGGCTAGAAACTCTGAATAAATGCTGCAATAAGCTCTTAATCTTTTCTTGAAAAACATCCTTAAGCACGTGGTGTTCTAGAGTGTTTTGTGTGAGCTCAGCAAACAGCAGAGTCAGAGATCAAGAATTATTTATTGCCCTGTCTTTCCTTGTGGAGTTAAGTGAGGAGTCAAGGCCGAGTATCAGCTTTGGAACCACGCACAGGGTACCTGACAGAAGCCTGAGATTACCCACTAGGAGGAACATCTATCTTTGTCTCGGGAAGAAATTGCCAAGAAGAGATTTGAATTGTACATATTTCACTTGCCTTTTGAGGTGCGTTGATGACACCAATGTCATATCCAAACTGAAAGGAGCCCAGCATGGTAGTGAAGACAGTGAAAAGCAAGGTCCCGGTGACCTGCGGGGAATAAAAAACAGTGCAGGGAAACAGCAGGCAGTTTCAGCTACAATCACCTCACCTGTCAGTCTGCAGCTGGGACTTCTGACAGGCCTGACAGGCTGGTGCTTGCCCCTTGATCCTGATTCGCAATGTGCCCTCTGCCCCTGGCAGGGGTCATGCATACAGGATGTGAAGGCCATTCTTCATTTCCCTCTCACTGGTAGAGCAGAGAAAAGTTGGGGATGGCTTCTTTTAGGAGCGGGACTAAACATACTTTTCCATATACAAACTTGTATCACACACTTATATGTATGTAATTCAAAATCAGAACTGGAACTAGAATTGCAGCTGACCAAACAACAAACTGCCAAGATATAACAAAATAAAACACAAATCTGTCGTTTATGTCAGCAAGAAATGTCAAATTAAAAACAGTCAGTAAGAAAGAGATGAGGAAATTTCTTAGGCATTGCGGTAGCACAGAGGCACCTCAAAACCTATATTACAGTATTAGTTAGTCTTTATCATAATTCATATCAACATCTAAGTAAGGATGTTGAGCCTAGAGTTTTGGGTTAAGGGATGTTATCTTCTGCCCAACTCTGCATAGCTACAAAAACTTTACATTCATCCCCTTCAACTCACACATGTCTAACCAGCTTAGAGAAATTATATGTGCATAGTCACATACGAGCATACTTGATGTATTTCTTGTGTGTGATGTCAACAACTGTAAAAGGAAACTAAATGCCACTCAATGGAAAATGCCAGTAGGTGATGCAAACAGCATGATGCACACCAATGTGACTGCTATGCAGTCACTTATTGTTAAGTGACAAAGAAATTTATATAATCTCAAAGTCTTTTTTAAATGCATAAACATGAATGTTCTTTTATCATTCATAGAATTTTAAAATTGAATTTATTTTCTTACATTGTTCATTTTTGTACAATATTTGATTTCTCCCCTCAGGTCTAGTCCCCATAGTTCTCCCTCCACCATAGCACCCTGATCTATCATGACAGCCATCACTGTGCCCTGTGCTCTTCCCTCCTGGTACCCCACACTCATGGAAAATTTTCTTGAAGAACAAATAACTGAGGATGACTCCTGAGAAGGGATGTAAAGTTGGAGAAAGGTGAAGGAGTACTTTTCAGTTACTTATAATTTAAAACAATTTATAAGGAAATCATCTCACATACAATTACATAATTTAAAATTTTAAGATAAATAACCTAGGCCTTATATAGGAACATTGTTGAATAAAAGAAAGGGAGATAAACACATGGATTCCAGTTCCTACTCTCCCATGTAGTGGGCATGGGGCCCAAGTCACTACTCATATTGTTGAATCTTCAGTTTTCCCTGGTGACTGTAGATACCCTTACACAGTATGAAGAATAGCTAATTAACCACAATCATTTAATTCCTACTCAAGCTGGAGATAAGATTTCACAGTGTCATCATCAACAAAGTATTGTCACAGGACCAGTCCAAGAACCCCTTGGAGTTATTGCATGTAGGGGTTCAAATCTAAAAGCAGAGATTATTACACATGTAGCTGCATGAGATTTGCCCGAGGCTATTGCTAGCCTGGAATTTCTAGAGTGGGAATTCAGAATCTGTAGGTTTGCAAAGCCTCTCTTTCACTACTTCGAAATTAATAGCAGGTAGCATCTATGTAGATTTTTCCTCCAGCAACTTCTTTCTCTGAAAGAAAGAACTTTAAAGCTGAACCAAAATATATGATAAAGTATCATTTATATACATGTTTACATATAATACACATGATATACATTTATTAGATACAAATAATATTAAATATCTAACTTATAATTAAGGATATATGTATGTTGTATATATGAGCACACATGTATGTTCACATGTGTACACACGGTACATGGGATGATCAGAGATTTTGAATTATTTTCTGAAATGTAACTGGACATACAAAACACAGTAACTCAGGCAGCCAAAACTAAGATGGAATTCTGTTTAATTGGTTGGTTGGTGGTTTCTCCTTATATCTTCCCCATCCTTCAACTGTTTCCAAAGAGAGGGAACTTCATTTTTTTAAGTGTTGTAACTGTAAATAGCAGTGAGGGGAGCAGGAAGCATTTTGAGAGAATTTTAACCAGCTTGCCTGACAATTTGCTTCATTACAACGTGGAAAAGCTGATGTTACGTGTAATGTAAATACAACTTCAAGGCCTAATGCTGAAAATGCATTCCTCTTACCTACTGTTCATAGCTATATATGTATTATCTCATTTACCTGTATTTTTTGTTTCTGCTGTAGCAATCTGCTGTAGCAAACAAATAACACACTAGTAGCTTAAGTAACAGTTCTTATAGATTAGAAATCTGGAACAATTCTTACCACTCTAAAATTAAGGTGTTGGCAGCTTTTCTGAATGTTATAGAGGAAAATTCAGGTTGATGGTAGATTTCAGTTTCTCATAGTTTTAGGATTGTGGTTTAAGTTTTCATCCCAGCTATAAAGTTAGGCTATTCCAAGATCTAGAGGTCAGCATATTCCTTGACTAATAGTATCCTTCCACTATCTCCATGACTGAATTTCTCTGCCCAGTACCTCTCTTTTAAGAATTTGTAAGATTGGATCAGACCCCTCTATAATCAAGGAAATTAGCCCCATTTCAAGGTCTATAACCTTAATGTATTTGTGAACTCTTTTGTCCATATAAGGTAACATAGTTATAGTTATGGACCTAATTGGAGGAACCAGCCACACTCCTCATGACAATCCCCTCAATATCTCTATTTTAAAGATAACTAGACTTCACTAAGCCCTCACAGCCTACTTGTAGACTATTGATTTGAATCCAGAGCCTATGTTTTTGACAATTTACTTATTTTGCATTCCTCATTGGTTAGAAACAGGTAATTCCAAAGTCGTGTGTATGAAAATCTAGAATTATATATTTCTAAAATGAAAAAAGTCCCAAAACACAAATATTCATGGAATTTGTCAACTGTGATGCTGAAGCCAAGTGACCAAACATCTACCAACTCCAAATACATTTTGCCACCACCCATCAGACAAATTCCCTTCTTCACCTACTTATGGAAAATATTGGTGAGTTCTCTGGACAAAAATCCAAAAGGTCAAAGGTTACTCAACCACTCAACGGAAGAACCTCAGGACTTGTCCATCACCTAGAACAGGGCTACAATACACTTGCCCAATTTCACCCCCAATATCTCTTCTTCCTGTTGCAGTGTCCAAGCACGTGGTGTCTTAACCTTTCCCACACCATCCCT